GAATGTTTTTCCTTTTGTTTGTGTCCTCTCTTATTTCCTTGAGCAGTGGTTTGTAGTTCTTTTAGAATAAGTCCTTAATGTCCCTCTTAAGTTGTAGTCCTAGGTATTTAATTCTCTTTGAAGCAATTGTGAATGGGAATTCACTCATGATATGACTCTCTGTTTGTCTGTTATTGATGTCTAGAAATTCTTGTGATTTTTGCACATTGATTTTGTGTCCTGAGATTTTGCTGAAGTTGCTTATCAGCTTAAGGAGATTTGGGGCTAAGATGATGGGGTCTTCTAAATATACAGTCAAGTCATCTGCAAATAGAGACAATTTGACTTCCTCTTTACCTATTTGAATACACTTTATTTCTTTATTTTGCCTGATTGCCCTGGCCAGAACTTCCAATACTATGTTGAATAGGAGTGGTGAGAGAAGGTATCCTTGTCTTGTGCTGGTTTTCAAAGGGAATGCTTTCACTCTTTGCCTATTCAGTATGATATTGGCTGTGGATTTGTCACAAATAGCTCTTATTATTTTGAGATATGTTCCATTAATACCTAGTCTGTTGAGAGTTTTTAGCATGAAGTGTTGTTGAATTTTGTTGAAGTCCTTCTCTGCATCTATTGACATAATCATGTGATTTTTGTCTTTGTTTCTGTTTATGTGATAAATTACATTTATTGATTTGCTTATGTTGAATAAGCCTTGCATCTCAGGGACAAAGCCGACTTGATCATGAAGGACAACCTTCTTTATGTGCTAATAACAGCATTTTTTAAATTAAAGTTCTGTGTACATTTTTAAAGAAAATTTCTCCTCCTTTATCTTTTCAACAAAGTTTTATTTATTATTATTAAACTTCTAAAGTCTGTTTTCACATAAAAGCAATACATGTTTCTCATCTGAAACAGGAAGTGATGGTTTATTATTCAAGTTCAAGATAAATGGTTGGGGGTTTCCCAAAAAACTTAATCTGTTATGGTTGCTGCAATTTATTAAAATCTTTAAAGGAAAAAATTCCAGTTTAAAATATATTTATTCTAAGCTTTGCACATTGAAACTGTAATTAACACATTGCCTCCTAGTGAAGGCCTGGCTTCCTCTTTAAGACAATTCCAGCGAGGTTTTCACTGGTAGTCCCCTAATTGTTTGGAGCTACACTGCTTCTGCTTCCTTTTTTTCCTTCCTTAGCACATATGCTTTAAGCATAGCCTCAGATATGAAATGAAGTGTAAGGCAAAAAATATGTATGCCCTTAGTATTTGATAAAAGTGTCATTTCAAATCAAGAAACAGGGTGATCTATGTTTATTTACTCAACACTTATTTATTGTTACTATTTGATCATGTCCCAGTGTTTCTTGACTCTCAGGGGACCACACATTGTTATAGACACTGAGCATAGAGGAATGAACCTACAAGCCAAGGTTTGTGATCTCTTAGGGTTTATATCTTAATGACAGAAGACATAAAATAAAGAGGCAATCCCAAACAATAAAACACATTTAGCTAATGATAATTACCACAAATACAATGAAACTGGGCACTATGATAGAGAAAGATTGGAAGCCTTCTTCAAATAGAGTGGTCATAGGAAGCCTCTCTAAGGAGGTAATATATGAAGGAATAAAAAGCAGAATAATGAAAAGAAACCACCTATGACCAGGGCAGAGCTTTCTCAATGGAGTCAATACCAAACACAAAGGTAGTGATATAGGAAATTTAGTTTATTCCAAAAATTAAACCAGGGCAGCAAGTTTAGAATTAGTACCAAGGAAGCAGAAAATCCATAAGGTCAAAGAAGCAGGTCTGAACAAGTTATGTAGGGCATTGTAGGGCATGGTAAGCAGTTCCGATTTAGATTTTATTCCAGATGTGCAAGGCAACCACTAGAAAGCCTTTAAGAAAAGAAAATCAGAAGTGGTATTATAGTCTGGATATTGCTTATAAAAGATTATGCTGGCTACAGGTGGAGAATGAACTGTAGTAGGATAAGAGTGGAGGCATAAAGCCCAGTTTGGAGGTCGTTTATGGTATCCAAGCAAGAGATGATGCTGGCCTGATGGAAACTGGTAGCACTGGAGATACCAGGACTTGCTGGTTTACTGGGTGTGGAAAAAGGGAAAGAAAGAAGTCAAGAGTGCTAGTTAAACATTTGATCTGAGCAACCATGGGCCTGCCAGTCACTGTGCTAAGCTTAGTGGATAAAACAGAGGATAAGACAGACATGGTCCTTGATTCAAATTTTATAATCTATAGTTATTTAATAAATGTGACTTGGTCAACAAACTAATAACTTAGAAAACTTAAGTTAGATCTAAATTTCATAGTGTTTACCATAATAAAGTCTAGATGGGTTGAAATGTTCAATTTAATAAATAAATCATATCTAAATCTTAGAAAAACTAGGAGAAAAAATATATGTATATATTTATATACTCTATGGATGGGAAAGCTTTCATAAAACTGTGATGTGACTGATAAAGAAAAATAATAGATTTGACTAGCTAAATTTTTAAACTTTTATATGTCAAAAATTCCATAAACAAGACTAAAAGGTAAACAAATCACCTTGGAAGTATAGTCACAACATATATGCTGAAGAGTTGATATGTTTAATATGTAAAGAGAACTTATAAATCAATAAGGAAAAAGATGAACAAAGGGTCCAATAAACAATAAAGCAAAAATGCAAAGTCTAAAGAGGCCAAACTTACCAGTACAAAAATATATATATTTAAAATAAGATATGGATTTTTTTACCTTTCAAATTAATAAATGTTTAAAACAAGTATAATTACCCATGTTAGCTGCCCTGGGAGTATAAAACTGATGACGATTTTTTAAAGGAGAGAAATTCTTTAAAATGCACATTGCTTTACATCTGGCAACTTCAATTTTTGAAATGTATCTAAAAAGTATAGTCATGGTTATGTGCAGTCACATGTAAACATTCACTGCAGTGTTGTTTATAGCAATATAACTTTACCATAATGATTAAATAAGTAATGGTATTTGCATTTGCTGCAATACAAAGCAGTGTAAAATTACACTGCAGGAAAAAAACTGACTGATTTGTGGTAAATTTTTCATACTATGTTTGATGTGATTAAAACAGGCTATAAACCAACAAACCAAATGTAATAGCATTATGATAAACATCCACAGGGAAAATAAGTCAATAAATACATTCAACAAATTGTTTGTGACGATTATACTTGAGAGATGGAATTATAGGTGATTTTGTCCTTTGCATTTCTATGTTTTTCAAATTTTCCATATTGTATGTGTGCAATTATATACTTTTTATATTACCAAATAAAAATTACATATTTATAAGCAGATACAATACTGAAAAACAAAAGAAGTCACTAAGCCTCGAACTAAAGAAAATTGGTTGGAAAGCAATAATCAGAATAAAGGTTTCAGGAATGCTTCCTATAAAAAATGAGAAAGAATATTGCCCTGATACTGACCAGAAGCAAATGATCCACTTCAAGCACAGACAATGGAGATGGAGCATGAATTTGAGCAAGATATTCTGGAAACTAGTGCTGTAACCACTCCAGGTCCTGCTAGTCATCATTCAAAGGTAAGTCCATACCAGCAGCCACATACCAGAGAGTTATGGAGCCAGCATGACAATCAAACCCATATTTGCAAGTAATACTAAGTCACACATGTCCTTACATAAGATTATAAAATCTCTGATTGCAATCCAATAAAACCATTAGCTCAAAGAATAATAAATCTAATAGTTCCTGGTCTTTACACAACACAAGTAAAATAGATAAACTGCCTGATTTTTTTCATTTTTTTTCGAGCCAAGATCTTGCTATGTCATCCAGGCTGGAATGCAGTGATGCTATCTTGGCTCCCTGCAGCCTCAATCTCCCAGGCTTAAGTGATCCTCCCACCTCAGCCTCCCAAGTAGCTGGGACTACAGGCGTGCACTACAATGCCATGATGCTGGCCTAATATTTCTTTTTTTTTTTTTTTTTGTAGAGACAGGGGTTTGCCATGTTCCCAGGTTGGTCTTGAACTCCTGGGCTAAAATGATCCACTGGCTTCAGTCTCCCAAAGTGCTCGGATTACAGGCATGAGTCACTGTCCCTGGCCTGCCTCACCTTTTGAACATATAGGATCCTACTAAAGTGCTATGTTAAACATGCAACCTGTGACAGGTTAGTCATACAGGTTTGTCTGGAGTTTGAATAGGAAGGATACCAGAAATTAACTTTGCCTGCTGAACTCCTTGTAGAAATCGAATTGAATTTCTTTTGAGGTTTACATTTATAAAATAATCTGTTAAGTTCAAAAAATTATGAATAGCTGTTTTACATAGGAAACCAGTAAAATTGATTGTTAAAAAATGTGTGTGTGTGTGTGTGTGTGTGTGTAAAGGTACTTCATATTTCCACAGCATCTGTCACTTAACAGTTTCAAAGCCTTGTTGGTGTCCTTTTGAAATTGGATGTATTGGCAAAAACAAAGTCCCCAAATCCAATCCAGTAGATAATGACCGAATTATTATTTATTTCCACTGTTTTGTTTTATTACATTCATTTTCAAACTTTGATGTCTACCAGTTACTTCTGTAGAGCTTGTAAAAAATATAAATACCCAAAGTGTACTCATGACATATTAAATCACAGTCTCACAGGTGGTGAGGCCGGTGGGTACCTATGTTTAGTAGAATCCGTAGGTGGTCCTGGTGCACCCTGAAGTGTGAAACACTGCTCTGGGTGAAAAAGTGCTGGCAGGGAAATGTGCGAGCAAAAGAACAAGGAAAAAAGAAAATTAACAAATCTCAAATTGAAAAAGAAAAATCTTAAAAAGAAAGTTGTGTGGCTAATGGTGTTCCAGTCTTGGTTGGTGTCATTTCGCATAGACCAATTACCTACAGTCTGGGTGGACTAGAGAATAGAGATCAGCATCAGTCAAATCCCGTGGTTAAAGCGTTAACCAGAATGTCCATTCATTTCTCAAGAAGTGTGGCAGAGAGCAAAGGAGTGTACCTATCAGCTGTTCCTAAGAAAGAAAGTAAACACTCCCAAAATGCTCTGAGGCACAGGGAGTGGCTCAGGTTTCTTACACTTCCCTGCTGTGGAGAAAAGGAGAAGTAATTAACAGCTCCTTGGCCTCTAGGATCGCCGACCGCGTAGGGGGCACTGCAGGCGCCCAGATGAGCCATGCTCTGGGAGGAGACAGGCACCGCCCCTCCGCCCGCGCGGGCCTAGGACCTCCCCTACAGGTGAGTGACTCGTGAAGTCCCAGCACCAGCAGAGACAGGACACTGCTTTCCTTCAACCAGAGTTCCTGACCCAGCCAGGAACAAACCGCGAAGCAAGTTCAGCCCAACAACGATGGTGAAAAGAATTTTCCTGCTCACAGTGTGAATAACAGGTGAAAAATGGGGGTAGGGGAAAGAACTTGCTAATCCACTCCCTGGGGTCAGGTTGAGGGCAAGTTATTAGAAAGCTGAATCCATAGGCAGCAAAGTTGAGTGTATGTATGTGTCCCGCAAATCACTTTTCCTTTTGATTTTCTCAGAATATGCTTTCCTAACCAAGGTAAGCTTTTAGGGTGGGAGGGGGAAAGGGGAGAGACGGGTGGGAAAGGGTGCACGGAAGGACTTGGAGGTAAATGTGACCACAGAACCCCTCCTCCCTTTAGTTCAATAAGACCTTTACCTGTAATTCTGCCTGGCGCTTACTCATGCGAAGATACTAGAGTCCTGGATGACACCCCCCTCCCTTCCTCTGAGTATTGTTATGGTTAGAATATTGTGTTGAATCATCACACTGGAAAGATCTTAAATGAGGGTTCAGCTAAACTTTCATTTGTTTCTGCAAAGTGACAGAAAGCATCCCCGCCCCCAAAAAATCAACTGAATTTTCAGTATAAGCTCTCACCAAACAATAAAAGAAAATCATAAATAATTAAATAGGAGTCCATGAGTTAAGGATATGAATTCTGAAGCAGGAGGGTGATAGGTTCAAAGCTTGGCTTTGTCACTTGTTAGTTTGCCCCTTTGCTAGTTTCTTAGCCTAAGCCTCAGAAGTTTGTCTATACAAACATCATGGAAGGATCTGCCACATAGGGCTTTCTTTGGTGGGAACTGAACCCTTAGCAAGTGTTCTGTAAATGGTACCTCCTGTTAGCATTAAGAATAAGCTGCTCTGCCAAAGGAGCCGTTGTCAGGTAGGGCTAGCTGAACTTGGGAGACCAGACAGTATGTATTAAGATGCTGGAATTGAACTGCTTCCCAGGGAGTGGGTCCAGTCCAGGCAAGCAGGTGACAGGTGGGCTAGGATCACCTCTCTGAGTAGCAACGAAATGACCTGGCTTCTTTCCATTTTTCGGATAGAGTATGTGGTGGCAAATTCAGACATATTTGCTACTCAATTACGTTTCTTTTGAAAAACTCATATTTATATTAATCTGTCATTTCTAAAATGAAAATAGAATTTTAGAGTAAGAGAGTTAACACGGAATCTCATATTGTGGAATTCATGCCATTTGAGTTTTATAAAGGAGACTGCTTTGGAATAATGTTCATCAGTTTAGACCGTATAATTCATGTCCTTATATTTCAGCACATATTGAATTGTTTATACTGAAGTGATGTCTTTTATTTGTGTTGATGGACAAGAAACATGAAAAAACAATGCTTGTGTTTTGTCAGTTGCTATCTCTTAAGCTTGAATTACAGGAAAGTAACTTTATACTATAAAGTTTTACTGAAAGGGCACTTTTGTCAATGCTGTTAGATATTAATGTTGCTGATTTTCTTGAGGGCAACAACTTAGCATCTATGACTAGTTATTTCCATTGATGTCATTTTTTATCTTGTTATTTTACTAAATAAAACAACCAAATCATTTGCAGTATACCCTAAGTTAATATCATCTGTGTTTTAATGGATTCTTTTTTCAAATTACAGAATTGAAATTCTCCAGTGTGCTTATAATTAGATATTGACTGGAGAATTGTGGATAGAATTCTAAAGCCAACCTAACTGAAGCTTGCTACCTTATTGTCCTCTGGGGTCTGATCGTTTTTAGTACAGTTTAGATAAAAACTTACAAAAGAATCAAACTGATTTAGAATAAGTTAGAGTTCAATATTCAATAAATGTTTTTCAAAGAGGAAATATACTTTTATGCTGACTTTACATGTTGTTATATATCCTTTAACCAAGTTATTTGCCTTTATATTTATTAATAGACATATGTCTGAATGAAAAATAGTAGCCTCAATTGTGATATATTTACTTAACCATTTTTGAAATTCATTTGAGATTAATCTATTTAATCACATAATTTGGTGTAAGTCTTACTGGTTAAAATCTGTTTAGATAGATAGATTTAGATATAAACTTTATAAAGATTTTCTACTATTTCTAATGTGCATAACATTTTATTATAAAGTATTAAGTGTTTTGGTCAATCAGAGAGAGAAAGAAAGAAGAGAATGACAGAGAGAAACTCAGCAATTATTTTTAAAAAATTAACTTTTCCAGTTATATTCATAGTGTAATATGTATGTAACATGTATTTGGGGCATGCAATTAAAAGTTCTATACGTGACTCTGGTTTTAATTTCCTGAAATAAGAAGCATCTTATACTTTTAATTAAAATAGAAACCCAATGTGAACCATCCATTTGTTTATATCAATTCATTTATTACAATGTAGATGGAGGATTCACAGTTGCTAGTGATAGGCTTCATACAAAAGCTTCGATTTTTTAAATATTTAATATAGGCCATTTGAAACTACAACCTCTGAGAAAGGAATTCTGAATATTCTCCCTTTACGCTAAAGCTAGTTATTCTGTTGCAAAAATTAATTTATATATTTAAAATGATCAGTGATAGTGATTTCCTCACTTTCATGACATAATCTCAACTACCAAACTTAACTAATACCACTGGTTCTAGGAGTTGTCCTATTTAAGTAACAAGGGTGTTATCTTAATAGCATAGATGGTTAAAGGAAAAACTCATCATCTCCCAGAGCCTAATAAAGGAGCTCAAGAGTAGAGAGTGTCAATTCTTTTGCAGCCAGTAGACAAACAGGAAAAACGAATCATGATCTTTGTGAAGTCAACCTTAGAATTTATCCTGGGAAGCTCAGGTGAAGCAGAAAATTCTTCAGCTCTACCACACCAGTAATTCCAGAAGATGCTGCTGGCAGACTAAGCAGCAACTCCCAGACCCAGTGGTAGCAAGATGCTTTAAGTGCCTTAATACAAATTTGTTTCTCCTACTGTTTCTGCTTTCTTTAGCTCCCTGAGGGCACCTTGAGCAGAATAAAATGCATGGCATTGGTACCACGCAAATTTGCAACAGAATAGTAAAGGTTTGACATTTCCAATTATATTCCACTTGAACTGAGGGCAGTGGCATGCTCACATAGAAGGGTGTTTGATCCATATCCTGTTTAGTCCTCTCTTAGATTCAAGGATTGTAATACATTATTTTTAGCTCAAAACCAACAATTGTGGACTGCAACCAATATCGCTTAATTAAGTGATAGTTTGTATACGCTTTTACTTTTACTTTTACTGTCTCTGCACATAAAGCACATTTTAAGAAAAAATATGAAGCCCAATGTTTCCCAGAAACCACCGCTCTGTTAGCTCTTCCTTTTTTTAGAGAACTAGATACTGGAGGGAATTATAGATGCTTTGTTTCATTTTCTTGAACTGATGTAATTGCATATGACTCTGCTCTTCTCTACTCCAAAGTTCCAGGTCATAACTTTGAGAAAACAGCTTTATTTTGGAGATGAGTACATAATTGTAACTTTCTAATGCTTCTTCAAGCTGAAACAATATTTTATTAAAAAGACTCACCGTGTGTCTTGAAAACACACTTGCTATTCTAGGGTGATACTTTCTGTTCTTTTTTAAATAACTTTTATTGGGGATGTGGGTGAGAAAGATGTAACATATATTCCTTGTATATGACTTAGAAAGTACATACAAAATAAAAAATAATAATCATCACTCATAATCTCTTAGCTTTATTTTATTAATATTATAATATACCTCTCTGTATGTTGGATGTATTCAATATTTTGTGTATGTTTTATCTATATGCCTGCATATATTCACTCACTTTAGAAGAAACAAAAATGAAATAGCAATAATTCTGTACTAAAGAATCTAGAAGTCGAATTAACTAAAATAAAATATGGTTAGAGAGAGAAAGCAGTAAGTAATTAGAGAGCTACAGAAAATGTCCTGTGACAGTGCAGAAGCAAGAGCAATTGTCTTTGGCTGGGAAATACAGGGAAGTTGGCACCTGTATTTATTATATATTACATACACCGTGTATTTGTAATATATATATATACACACACACAAAGCATCTATAATTCCATTCAGTATCTAGGTCTCTAAAAAAAGAAATGTATATATACAATGTGTATATATACATATACATACACACTGTATATACAGCACACTGTATATATGCATATTTATACAGGTGCTAACTATAGGGAAGTTATATATATATGTGTATATATATATATGTTATATATAATATATAATTGTATATATAATATATACAAAGTTATATAATTATCCTTGTAAAATCATAAGTATTGTGACATTTTGTGCACCTTATGGCTTCAGAAATAAGAGCCTACAGATATAGATACAGGCTATATTTTCTGTGCCTAGCACGGTAGCAGGTGCAGAGAAGGAACTCATGAAATATTTGTTCAATATACAAACGAGTGAACCAAATTTTCCACTTTTAGACACATAACCGTTTAATTAACCCATGCTTGGGTAACAGGAAATTACTTTAAATGACTGACCCATTTGATTTAATTTGCACTAGAATTTACTTCCTGTCCTCTGGCCTCATTTTGGTCACAAGGTAACTGGTAAGTCCTGGCAAGCCCACATCCAGGCAGGAATGCAGAGCAGGGGGTGGTGAACCACGGATGCTTCCAATGATCTCAGGTCTCAGCATTGCTGGAACGTTGATGCTTTCCAACACTGTCTCCTCAGGCTCTAGATCTCATTGACCTGCTCTGACCAATTCTACCTCTCCTAGTACTTCCAGTGCTGTTTATTTTTCCAGGACTTAATTGCTGACCTATCTAATTCCCTGTCTCTCCAGCTCCATTGTTTCTGGACAAAATGAAAAAGCAAATAACCAAACTTATTAAATAAGTGATCTTACTTTACGCACAATCTAAGTCAATAATCTCCGGCCTAAGGGTCTACATAGATTTGTAACAACCATCTTCCTCCTCAAGTTGTAGTGTTTTACACTCTACCAAAATAACTGTGAGCATCCCAAATAAGACCACCAGGCTTCTAGACCGGTAATTTTTTCTTTCTTCATAAATTCTCTCCCTCTTTGCTATTCATGACTTCTCTGTTATTCTCCTCTTAAGTCTTTGAGAAAACTTGCTCAGATGCTCACATCTACCAAGTCTAATTTAGAAGATTTTTACAAGAGCCCTAGCAGTTTTTAATTTGCTATGAATCATGGTAAATGGGAATGGGAAAATGAGGATGAGAGACTATTTGAATACATCGATCTATGCCTCTCTTCAATGTGTTTGTTTGTTTTGTTCATTTTTTCTTTTCTTTTTTTTTTTTTTTTTTTTTTTATTTTTGTTGTTGCCTCTGCTGCTGCTGCTGCTGTTTTGAGACAGTCTCACTCTATTGCTCATGCTGGAGTGCAGTGGCGCAATCTCGGCTCACCGCAACATCCGTTTCCAGGTTTAAGCGAGTCGCATTCCTCAGACTCCCAAGTAGCTGGGATTACAAGTATGTGCCACCACACCCAGCTAACTTTTGCATTTCTCTTCACTATGAATACTAACAAAGGGACTTTTCCCAAATCATGTTCTTACCTTTCAGATATTTAAACTGTTTGAATATTTTATTTAGCTAATTTTTAGATCAGACACGATCAATATTATTTCTTACTCAAATATTATATGCTGCCTATAAATGAAAATTTTATCCTGTTTTTATTTTCTTACATTAAATTCTATTCAACTGTCTTCCTTCCTAAACTCAGAGAATAATGTAAGAGCCTTGGAAACCATTTCATCATATCTTCCGAAGACTTCTGAAGCTGGCTATGAGTTACTTCAGTATAGATTAAAAGTTTGCTGCTATAATTACATTGCAATTATTTTCCCTCTTTAATGATATCTTTGGTTATTTCTTATGAATGCAAATAAAGAGTGAGCAAGTTGGAAAGCCACTGCAATGACTTTGCAGTCCATCGCTGCCAATTTTCACTTTGCGATTTTAAGAAGCTACTATCAGTGGTTCTTCACTTCCAAATATCCCCAGTTTCTGGTGAGGGGAGCAAGCTGTCTGGTTCTTAGATGGCCTTCTTGTTATGCTCTCACATGGTGGAAGGGTCCAGGCAGCTCTCTGGAGTCTCTTTTATAAAGGCACTAATCATATTCATGCAGTCTCCACCATCAAGACCTAATCACCTCCTAAAGTCCTCAGCGCTTAATACTATTGCATTGGGGATTAAGCTTTAACATGTAAGTTTTGTGGGAACACAAACATTCAGACCATAACAGAGGGAAGCCATTTAGGGGGCTGATGCAATAATCCAGGAAAGAGATGATGGTGGCTTTGCTTAGGGTTGTAGCAGTAGAAAGCAAAGCTTTCAAATTTGGATTGTGTTAGTGGTACAGTGAATAGGGCTTAGTTTTGGATTGAACTCGGCTTATGGTGAAAGAGGAAAAAAACGAGACAAAGTATTAGTTTTGATGCTTAGATGGCAAAGAATTCTGGAGAATGAAATTCTAGAGCATGGGGGAAAGTCAGTGGTTCTGTTTCAGCCATGTAGATATTGAGATGCCTGGAACACATCTAAGTAGAGATTAGGTAGGTGGTGACGTGCATCTGAGGCTCAGCAGAGATGCTGGGCTGGAGATGGATTAGATTACCCAGAAGAATGACTAGGCAGAGAAGAAAGGATGGCTGAGAATAGACGACTCAAACAAGCCAGGTTGTAGTGCTCATATAAAGGAGGAGTCAAGCAACAGAGACTAGTGTTGAGGCCTGTGAGATAGCAGGAAATTAGAGCAAGGTGATTGTTCTTCATGGTTTGTCTCAAAAGCATCAAGAGGAAAGTGTTTTAAAAGGAGGAAAATCAATCTTGTCAAATGTTGCTAAGAGGCAGAGAAATTAGGAGAGAAAGTGAACTATTTGGCAAGGTATAGGCTCTTGGAACATGGGTGGAGAGGTGGAGGTAGGGCTAAATTAAAGGAATATATGGCAAACAATCTAGATCCATGAGGAAGAAGGAAGGGTTCGGGCCCCAAGGTCATTACTGGGGGATCTCAGTAGGGGATGTTAATAACCCTTTTGGTGGGTTACTAGAATGACAAAATTCAGGGGCAAAACTCAACTTTTGGAAGCTGGAGTAACCTGTGTTGCCTGTATAACCAAATAGCCCAGACCAAGTTCTGTGAATGAGTAACCGGGATTTGGGATTTGTTGGGCTCATGGAGCATATTGTGTGTGTGTCCCCAGGGCAGCATAAAATATCCACGTGGCTTCTAACCTATAGAGTTACTTTGCCTGGTGACTAAGCTTCTGTGTCTCTGACATGAGTCCTCCAGGTGTCCTGCATAAGACAGACTTCTGCCAATGATGTGCTATCAGAGGATGCAATTTCCAACTAGAGAAGCACCATTCTTTGAGCAAGAAGATAGCAATAGAAAAGGAAGGAAAGTATAAATCAATAATGACAATACAAGGTAGAAAGCAGAATGATGACAACAGTGTGAATTCAAAGGCCATGGGGTGACTTAAAGATGTCCCACTGGGGACTAAAAGGGACCAGGTAGACATCTGAACCTGCAGTGAAGAGGGCCCTCTGCTGCCAGGGGAATACGTGAGAAGAGTCTCAACGGCATGGAATTTCATTAGATTATAAGGCCTGATGTGAAGGAATGTTTCAATTTGGAGCTTGGAGAGGTAGGTTTGGGTGGAATTGAAGAAAGCCTGAAAGTCAGGTTAAGGGACTTGGATTGTATTTATTAAGAAAGATATCAGGACGGTTTGTGACCAAAAAGGTGATGTGATGATCAGAATGGTATAAGTTTAGAATGAGACTCCCGCCAAGCATTCAGCCTGAAGGCTGTAACAAAGTGCATAGTGAGTTTGACAACATTCTACAAGGAAAAAGATGCATCAGGGATTTTTTGAGAACAGCCGGATAGGTTTCCTGGTTTTTTTCCTGGCATTCTGAAGAGTTGGGACATAAACTTTTCTAATTTTTATCCATCTTACCCAACCCAAACAACCTGATCTAAAAGGAAAAGGAGGAAATCCACTCCCCACCACACATGCCTTTTTATTTTTTTAAAAGGAGAACTGAACTCACTCTTGCCCATCTTTTTATTCTGGCCATCTCTCCTAAAATATTATAGGCCTGGAGCTATGATAACTGAATATTCAATTTCTGCAAAATGGAATGACCAGAAAATATTATACTTTACATCTCTGGTCACACCCTAATACCATTTATATGAACATATAAAGGAGGAGATTATTCACATCTGACCACAGTTTCCAGAGCCTGAAGGAGACTTGAAGAATATTACATCTTACCTAATCAACTCTTCAAGTCAGAGCTTGATTTTAGCTGCCTAGAATTACAGTTGTGTTCTGCTGACTGGGGCAAGGTTCAGCCAGTTTGGGTGAGTTATTGCAATAGAAGGAAAATGACCCCTTATACAGAATTATCCAAATCAATGAGTCATATTTGTCTTATTAGAAATATATCTGAAACAGACTTACCAAACTGTTCAATCCATGCTTGTCTTGAGTTACTGCTTCTGTGGTTTTTCATTTACATAATACATTTTTCTGCCTTTTTGCTCACATATGACATACTACTTAAAAACTTTCTAAAATATTCTTATATTGATACAACAAAACACTCAACTTAAATGAGAAACTAATTTATGAATGCATTATAGGGACAAATTATTAATATTATTCTCATGTTTAGGGTATCCTCAGACCATCGCAAAAAGGAGAGAAAGATGGCTATGATGGCTCACCAGTACCCCTCTTGGATCTTCATCAATGAGAGGACATTCATAACCAGGTAAACACACACCTTATATCCCAAGTTATCCTAGTCACCAGTTATTTGTGTAATATACCACTCAAAGTTTTCTAAGCATGATATATGATCAACAAGATCAATAATATGAATCATCAATAGAGATACTGGATATGAAGTTGAAAAAATATGTTTCTAAAGACTGCCTAATTTACTCTGTCATGGAACAATCACTAATATTTTATTCACCAGTGGTTTAATTTTATTAAAAGTGACATTTCTGTTTTAATAGTTGGGATAATACTGAAGAGCAGTATTAAGTGAAGATCTAAGGCTTCTCATAAAAGATAGTTCTAAAGAATTAACCCCAGAGCCCAAAACATTATATCCTGTCCTAACCTCTCCCTCTCTTGCTCCACATGACACTATTTTTACTGGTTTCCTCTTGACATTAGATTATGCAATATATGGCCAACATCCACAACTGTTTTCTAATATACAACAAACAGCATCTCATATTGCTTTGGGAGAAATAGAGTAGGGGCTTAAAAGCTGCAAGATGAAAACTGAAACTGGCCAAGCTATAGCAGAGGCTGGGGGCTGAGAGGAGATGAAATCGTGAAAAAAACAAGTGGTACTGAAACATGACCCAAATTTTACGGGGGGTGGAAAAATGAATGAAGCCAAACAAATGATAGAGAGAAGGGGAAGTGAATAATCCAGGGTTGAGCAGTAGGAAAGTGAAGGCAACAAATATGTTCAAAGACTAAAATAAAACCACAGCTGGAAGCTAAGGATGAACTATAAGCCGTGGGGAAAAGATATGACCCAAAGGGTGAAGGATTCAGATTCATTCCTCAAACACTTATTCATTGCTCACTGAGAACAGGTGTTCTTCTGGACCCTGAGCATTCAGCAGTGAACCAAACAAAACCTTTACTCTCATGGAGTTATATCGTAAAGTTGGATATAGTCAATGCATCAGGTAAATGCTGAGGAAATGGAGTGAAGAGTGCTGGAGATAGCAGAAAAAGTTCTGATTTCATATAACCTAGTTCCTTCCTTAGTGAGGAGGAACCACCGGAGGAAAAGCCTGCAGAAAGGAAGAAAGCAAGCCATGCAAGTACCGTAGGTTTTCCAGGGGCAAGGAGGAGAGCAACTCCATGGCCCTAAGGCAGTTGCAAATTTGTAAGGGTCAGAGAGAATGGTGTGGGGAAACAAAAGTGGAAAGACAGTAGATGAGGCCAGATGGAGTCAGAGCATGTAGGGTTTGATAGGCCATTATGAGGCTTGGTCTTTCCCATTAAATAAGATGAGAAGCTGTGGAAGGATATTGAGTGACAGTATCATCTGGCTGCTCTGTTAAGAACAGAGTGAAGGGGGGACAACAGTGGAAACAGAGAAGCTACCAAGGAGCTGACAGTCCATGGTGGAGATGAAGGTGGCTTGAACCAAGGTGGCAGCAGTAGAGGTAGAGAAACAATGATCAGATTCTGGATATATTTTGAAGACAGATAAATAGGATTTCCTGAAGGGTTAGACATAGGTATTATAAAAGAAAGGGAATAACCAAGATTAATTCTAAAGATTTTGATCTAGAAAAATGGGGTTAACATTTTCTGTAATCATGAGGAGAAACAGGAGCTACAGGAGGAGCAGGTTTGCAGATGAGGATCCGGAGTTCAGTCCTGGACACATTTCATTTGAGAGTGAATGAGAAGCATTTCTCAAAAATGGGGTGCATGGACCTCCTGCTTCTGAATCAGATGCCTGTTCAGAGTCTAGACCCTGGGCTTCACCCCAGAACTAATCATGTGATTCTGATGCATACTGAAGTCTGAAAACAAATGCTCAGAGTAGGAAAGGATTAAATTCTGAGAACTTCGGACCTAACATAAACGAAATTCCTGGAGCTGGGGGAAATCTCTGCCAGGCTGTCACCAGAAATTATAACAATGCCACTGACCAACTGCGATATCCAGCATGCCACAAATCTGGCAAACACCCCTACTCATTTATTCACTTGACAAGTAACTTTTTAGCTCCCTCTCTGTACTAGGCATCGTTGTAGGGAACAAGACAAAAATTAGCGATTTATTGAGGTATTTTTGTTTTCCTGAAAAGAAATACATGGAAAGAATGGAAATTAACAGTAAAACAGAGTCTTCATAATCAAAATTTTGGTTTCAGCAAATTTCATGAGGATTACACATGATCAGTAAAATAAGAGGTCCTGATATTAATAATAGCATAGAAGGCAACAGAACATTTGTATCCAACTACTGGATGAGAATTCTCTGAGTTTAGAAATTTCCCTGGCATAGGTTAGCTTTGTGCTCGAATGACTAAGCTTCTAGTTGCTGTTTTATTGCCTGGAGTCATCATTGCTTGCTACTTCACATAGTGTGCTGGGTGGAAAAAAAGATTTGTTATGGTTACTTCCAAGTGTTTTCACTTTAGGTGATTAGGCTGAAATCTGAGCACTTTAGAGGTGAATAAATGCTAACTATGCATTTTTTTAAAAACAAACAAATTAATGGAGAAGTTTAAATCCAGTTTTAGAATGCAGATCAGATTTCACTCTCAGAACCTATCAGACTTTTTCTGCTACTTAGAAACCTAATATAAACCTTATGGCCTATGCCTCTTCTAACAGCAGCTCAAAAGGCACGTGTACATTCCTGTCCTTAGTAAATAAGTTTAATTAGCATGATGTAATAAATTTTAGCAGAAAGCGTATTATTCAAAACAGTTTCTTTTTCCAAGCATGTTGGCCGGCAACCTTTGTTGAAACAAAAGAACCAGCCACCTGCATCTCTAAGCACAAATCAAACACAAAGAGCCAGTGTTCCAGAGGCTGCCTCCTACCTGGCCAGTAGAGCCAGAAGGCAATGTTTGCCCAGGTTTCATGTACAGGGTCTTCTCCTGATCAAAGGAATAGGAGCAAACACTGCCTGCCCTAGTGAGTCCTGAAGGTAAGTTTCTAAGAAGAGGGCATCATTATCCTGAAGAATGTTGAATACCTGTCTTTAATTAAAGTATAGAAGAGCCTGTCCTGATGCATTTGTATAAGGAGTTAGAATTTTAAAATAAGCCCAGAGACAAAAGATTTTAACCACATATTTAGGAGCATCTACTTTAAAAAATTAGAATTTTTGCCACATGGGGGTTGTTTTTAAAAATTCACATTATTCATGTTTGATGACCCAGTGAAATAAAAAGAAATTATCGCGAGAAACTGGTTATCACATCTGTTATAATGTCACAAAAAGGTCAATAACATCATCATGAGATATGTGGAAGAAGGACACTCCTTAAGATTTTTATATACTGACATTTTCAATAAGCATATATTGTCGGCAGTCATTGAGCTTATCAATATGACTTAATAATCTGTATTCCTAGTAAAATTTACCTACTTTGCAGTTACCTATTTTAGCAATTAAGGAGGTTTAAAAACAATGAGATCATTTGTCTGCCCAAAATATATTAAAAATTTTCTCATAGAAAGTCCAATCAAGTCAAAATTCAAAGACTCCAGAAATATATTACACATATGGAATTTACTTGAATTTCTGGATGTGTGAATTTTCTATTCTGTATTCCCTAAACAAATAACTTTTGAGAGCATACCAGGAGGTAAAGGAGAAGAGAGGAGGGGAGGGAAGGGGAGGGGAGGGGAGTGGGTGAAGCTGTCCTGCTCTTATGAAGCTTGAAATCTGAAGCTATAGCTCACACCTGACCCTTTATCAGAACCACCTGGAGGTTTCTTTAAAAGAAAGATTGCTAGGCCCCATCCCCAGAGTTTCTGATTCAGGAGTTATAGGGTGTGGTGAATATTTGCATGTCTAAGTTTCCAGGTGGTAAAGATGCTGCTAGTCTAGGGGATCACACTTTTAGGTCCACAGAGATCTAAAGACATGAAACAAACTGACATGTGTTCTGAGCCAAGGAACCCAGTTTAAAGCCCTAGTATAAACAAGAGCTCCAAGAAGTCTTCTCCCTAGAAACAGTGTTTGTACAGAGATCTGAGTGAGGAGGAAGCTATGAAAGTTCAGGGGAGTGGGTGGGAGAGCATTCCTGACACAGAAATCTGCCAGAAATCCTTATGGCCATGGAGCAGAGTTTCAATGAGTGAAAGGTGCCCAGGGTGCTGGGGTGCAGGACACGGTGAAAATGTCTCTTGAAGGGAGGCTGAAGAGGAAGGCAGGAGAGAGACCAAACAGGACTTAACCTGCCATAAGGATGTGGGGGTTTTATCCCAAGAGCAATGGAAAGACATTTAAGTATGTTAACAAAGCAGATGATATGATTAGATACATTCTACATACTCTGGATTTAGTGTGGAAAATGTTTGGAGGATGTCCAGAATAGCAGCAAGGAGTTTGCTTATTATTTTTTGTTGAATGTAAAGATAGCCAGTGGAGAAAGTCATGGCAGCATTACTGAAAAATAAAGTCACAGCCAGCGAGTGTAAGAGCCTGTGTGTCAGGAAAGCTCCCATTTTCAGGCTCATGCTCATATTGATGACCCTGAGAATCACTGGCCCCCTGCTGTGTTTCAGACCCACTAGTAACAATCCCAAACATCCAGGGAGCCAAAAGGCCTATCAGTATAATAAATGAAAGACTTCATTAAATAGGATCGATAGATTCTTCCTCCCAAGGAAGCAAGGGGCATCAGGCTATGAAGTCAAGGTAGTCATTCTCAATAAGCACAAAAGTCCCTAGCTCTTCGTACACAAAGGTGTGATTTTACAGCAAGCTTGCATCTGCTCCCATAATGATTGGCGTTGTGTGGCACACCTGTGTTTACTTTTCCAACTCCCTTAAAAAAAAAGAGCTATAAGGCTTGTCTCAGAAAAACAAGACATAAAAGGCTAGCCCATGGACAAATGCAAAGCAAGACCCAAATATGAGCTAAGAACTAGCCTAATTGCTCCATTCCCTCCTCTCTGTCTTGCAGGATGCTGAGGTTTGGGGTATAGATGAATCCATCATTCCAGGACTGAGCATAGTACCCAATAGATAGCTCTTCAGTCC